TTTTGATTGAACATTGGTCTGTCTTCTTCGTGTATTGAATCAGTGGCATGTCTGTGGACTTACAACGCTAAAAACCGGGTAAGTCCGTAGGTTGACTGATAGAAAATAAAGCGTTGTTCATCTATAGTAAACTTCAAATGGTTTTATTCTGGGAAACAAATTACAAGTTTTGATTGAACATTGGTCTGTCTTCTTCGTGTATTGAATCAGTGGCATGTCTGTGGACTTACAACGCTAAAAACCGGGTAAGTCCGTAGGTTGACTGATAGAAAATAAAGCGTTGTTCATCTATAGTAAACTTCAAATGGTTTTATTCTGGGAAACAAATTACATGTTTTCATTGAACATTGGTCTGTCTTCTTCGTGTATTGAATCAGTGGCATGTCTGTGGACTTACAACGCTAAAAACCGGGTAAGTCCGTAAGTTGACTGATAGAAAATAAAGCGTTGTTCATCTATAGTAAACTTCAAAGTGGTTTTATTCTGGGAAACAAATTACAAGTTTTGATTGAACATTGGTCTGTCTTCTTCGTGTATCGAATCAGTGGCATGTCTGTGGACTTACAACGCTAAAAACCGGGTTTGGACACCTGTAGTGGGTACAGCACAGATAGCCCGTTGTGTAGCTTTGTGTTTAATTACAAACAAATAAACAAAAATAGACATGAGTTGCTCATTTATGACAGCTATTTCCGAGTTTCTAAACGTTGTTGATTAACTATTTAAACTGTTATATTATGATACAGTATACAAAATGAGTAAATTTAAACTATAGTAGGTGTTTGATATTATACCGAGTTCGGGTAACAAAAAAGGAGCTGGATCATACTCCTCAAGTCCCCCTCGTACAACCTGTTGGAATCATAACCTGCCCATATTAGTACGCCCACTGATCGTATTTACATACAAGTTATTTCTACCTCGTCCAATCCCTTCTTGACCTGTTCCTGACGTCAGCCAGGTGAGGCAGTAGGAAAATCACGTGATAAGTGTAAAGGCGGTTTACGGACCTAACGTGAATTAGGGAAGAGACGGTTTTTAACTACTGTTAAAAATGTGTGGATTTGTGTCGTTGTAGCAAATTTTCTAGTAACTGAAATATTGAGTGCTTTATCTTTTAAGAACAGTGTTATAGTTAGCCATAGAGCTTAACACCGGAGGGAGTTATTCGCGGACTTGAAAGACTTCTGGAAATTGTGGAAGTGACTGGGGTAGATAAAGCTACTTGTTGTTAGTTTGTGGCTTTCTCCTGTCATTTAGTGTGTGTGAGTGTGTGGAAGAAAACTAAAACGACCTGGTTACCAGGGTAAGCACTCGTTACTTAAATTTCGCTAGTGAAAAATTGGAAAGGTTTTAGCAAACCTGTTATGATTTACCTATTATGAACATATTGTGTAACCTATTAGTATAAAGCATGATTTGATAGAGTTGAATGTGAAAGACCTCACTTATAATAAGTTATGTAAATATACACAAGTTTGTGGAACTCGGATATATTTGTATGATTATTAATCAGTGTATTACTTACTCACTACTCGTCGCGTAGTCCTGGAACTTGTTTCCCATGTCCTTGTAGCTAGCGCTATCAAAATCACATATTGTCAACTTCAGCATAATTGAAAGCATAAAAAGTAAAGTAAGTTTTCTAATTATACATAGGAGAAAAAGAAAATAATTCCATTACTACAAAATATATCGGTATCTCTGCAACATTTCCTCCTCCCATTGAAAACTAAAGCAGGTAATAATAAGTAAAAGATAACTGCACAAGTGAAATGAAATTTCTATGTGTAAACCAAACTACTATGTATGTATCTTCTAGTATGATAACACATTTACAAAATTAAACCAAGTTGTGTAAGTTTAAATGTTGTTGTTGTTTGAAGTTAAGCACAAAGCTACACAATGAGCTAGCTATCCGTGATATGCCCACCACGGGTATCGAAACCAAGTTTTTAGCGTTGTAAGTCCGCAGACACGCCTCTGTGCCACGTGGGGGGGGGGGGGGGCAAGTGTAACTGAACGATGAGCATGAAAGGGATGGGGGAGAATAAACCAATAACACTTTGGCAATACTAGGGGGCGACAGTACAGAGTTTGAGCTGGCTTACGAACATCGCTAATCCTAGGAGCGACAGTACAAAGCTTGAGATGCTTTATGAACGTTGTTATAAGCTTTGTTTGCTTTTATAAACGCTTACAGAAGATACTGAAAAGCAGTGGAAAGTGCACTGAAGGACAAGAATGATGTAAATTTGAAAGCATGTTAGTCGCCCTCTTGTATAGACAGTTTGTTCTGGTCGTCAGAACTACCAACTGCACTTATAGTTGCATATACGTTGTTTTCCTCAGATGTTTGTTCTGATTTTGGAAGAGTATTTGATATAAACAACTTCTGTATTACCAGGTGGTCTTTGGCGAATAATTTGACTTGTTGACGATTGCAAAAGTGTTAAGTAATTTAACTTAAACATTGATAAGTCATTGGAAAGGGAATTAGTTATAAATTTCGTGTACAATTTACATTCGGAATAATCATTGTAATTGCACAACTAACAAACGTAGAATGAGTTGCAAGTTTTAACGAAACTCTTAACCATTTTACTTTTTAGGGTTAACCAGTAAACTGATGTCATTGTGACGTCAACAATTCCTAGCAATAATTAAATACAAATCTGAGATAGTTATAAGGAAGTGGTGGTGGTGTGTTAAATTTTGTAGACCCGGGGCTTTGCCAAAATGTGTCAGATTTGTGACGCCATCATCAGGGTAAAGATTTCGTATTCAAAAATCCTAATTTCCCCCTTTTTTGAGTCAATTTTTTAAAACAAAAACATGCAGCACTAATTATTTGAGACTACTCACGTTAGTGCTAAATTAAATACGTATATATTACCGAAAGAAAACACACAAATCAACTCCTTTTTAAAATAAGCAGCAAGGAATAAAACACCTGAGCACCACATACAAATTACTAACATTGAAACAAGTTTTAAAAACGCGTATCTTATTTTTTATTATATTTTTGACTGCACAACAGTATTAACAACTGTTAAAAAAACTTACACATTATGTAACTAATAATAATAGTAAAGCTTTTAAAATTTGTACGTCATAAACACACAGCATAATTGTAAAATGTTTTTTATTGAGTGTTTTAATACCATATTCGAATGTTTTAATAACAACACGACGTATGACAAAAACATTTCACTATTTTAACGCTCTATCATCTGCTTATAAGCCAAAGTGGTCTCATGGTGCCTGTTACCTGTTCCAGAGGGAAAGTGACAGTGCGTGTCTGGGCGACTTGACTCCCCAGTGGCACAGCTGTATGTCTGCGGACTTACAACGCTAGAATCCGGGTTTCGATACCCGTGATGGGCAGAGCACAGATAGCCCATTGTGTAGCTTTGTGCATAATTACAAACAACAAAAAAAATAAAAAATGGCGGCTTGAGAAAGTTCTACCAGTGTGGGTAAACTGAATAACTTGTTTTGGGACCCTGCGTTCCGGTGCACTCTGGCAGCAATACTACCCTGTAAAATGAAGATGAAAAGTTTAGATAAAGTAATGTAGGAAGAACAAAGGCGAAGAAAACCTGCAGCGTGCTTACCAAATGTTCAATAATATTTTATAAAATTTGAATTTCACTTCCATATTGACCTGTAAGGGTACAGTATAAATAGTTCTGACCCATATTCATTTTCATTTCGGGACCTCCATTTCTCACGTGCCCCCCAGTCTCTAAACAACAGGCTATGTAAAACATACTTAAAAAATATTATTATTATTACTGTAACGGGTATTTTAAAGCCAAATGAATATTGTAGACGGTAGCATACAATAATATGTATTCAATTTCATCCTGCTGAAACAAGATATTAATTTGTGTTCATTTATCGACTGTTGTGGGTCATGAATAATGTATTTTTTGAAAGAACCATCTATTGAAAAATTGGAAAAAAAGTACTCGGATGTTATGTGTTATGTTAGTTTTTTTTAGCAAATCCAGGTAATGGTATCACGTTAAAATATTCATATGTATTCTAAATACTTGCTTATTTATGTATTATAATAATTGCATAAATATATTGTTTTTGCCAGTAATAAAGTATAACTTTCGAGTTTTATTTTCTTTGTTGCATTTAAATATGGTATTATAAATATAATCAATGATGCTTTGACAACATAACTGAACAATGTTATGAACTGGGAACTTGTTTGTGCCCCCACCCAAATAAAAAATTATTTCAGGCCCTGTATCTATATCTCTTTTATCATCTCGACTACAGAAACTGAACTGCCAAGGGTATCTGTTATGCACGTGTAGTTCTAGAATCGCGCCAAAACTGGGCGGTGATAAAAGGGTCACTTTCACGAATGTCACGATATCGAACGTATCTCAAGAATTTTCAAAAAACACATAAGCAACAATGTTTGTTGAAACGCAAGCTTTACGTAGTATCGTAAGACAGCATTGAGAGCAATATAAGATCATGTTACCGTTGGGAGTGAGGGGTCATTGGTTGTTTCGGCTTGTATACTATGTTCTTTATTATTTTTATTATCTACCTTTGAACTATAGAGCCGCTCCTTTCTCACGATGGTCAATCCTTCTCAACCTTTCGCAAACTCCTAAAAATACAGATCAAACTATTGCACAAATTTCAATAAACGATAGTTTATAAATAACTTATTATTATTATAAATGGGCTAGGTGGTTAGAGGGCGTTCAACTCGTAATCTGTGGGTCGCGGGTTCGAATCCCCGTCACACCAAACATGCTC